GTAATACATTATCTTGTAACTAACTCCTTAGTCACTTTGCTTGCAAGCCTCTTGTGATGTTGTATTACCGAGAAGGCCCAGAGATACCTCTCCATTACACGGAGTGACAAATCCCAATCTCGATTCATGCCAACTCAACAGACACCTTCAGAGATACCTATAGAGCATCTTTATGATCACCCATTTACATGGTGACATTTGATAGCACACAAGGTATTCCTTCGGTAGCTGGGAGTTGCATGATCTCATGGTCGAAGAAACATGTATTTGACATTAAGAATGCAGTAGCAATAAACTGAACGATCATATGCTATGCTAACGGTTGGGTTTTGTCCATCACATCATTCTCCTAATGATGTGATCCCGTTATCAAATAACAACTCATGTATATGGTTAGGAAACCTTAACCATCTTTGATCAACGAGCTAGTCTAGTAGAGGCTCACGGGGGACACAATATTTGTTTATGCATTCACACTTGTATTTAAGTTTCCCGTCAACACAATTCTAGCATGAATAATAAACCTTTGTCATGAATAAGGAAATATAATAATAACAACAACTTTATTATTGCCTCTAATTCATATTTCCATCAGTCCTGCCCTTTCCCGCCACGCGTCTACACTGCCCCCTCCTCTCGTCGCGATAAAAGACGAACTTCGCCGCCGCTCACCGCTCACTCGCTAGCCATCTCTTCGCCTCCACCACTCCAACGCCGACCACATTCCTTCTCACCTTTCTCTCCTAGAAAAGCCGCCTTCACCGTCGCCACAGTCGCCATGGCGGAGAGATTTCCCAGGCGACGAGGCGGCGGCCAACGGCTTCTGCCGCCACTGGCTGTACGAGTGGGAAGCTCGCCTGCTGCAAGAGGCGAACTACCCGACGCCACCGACATGCGTGTGCCGGGTGCATGGCGGCTGAGCGCCGGCGGCATCCCCGTGCCTCTGCCGCCCTCCGACGCGGAACGCCCCACCGAGATCGAGGTGATTCGGGCCAACCTGCTGGAGCACGCGCACCAACAGCCACGGTATGCAGCGAACAACCACGCGCTGTGGACCCTGCACTTCCAGCGACGCCACACCAAGCAGCTGGTGTCTACCAATGGCGGCCCGATGTCGAGGGGGCGCCATAATTCGGATGGCTGCTGTCAATGGTGGGGCGCGCCCGGGCGAACTCTCTCTGCCGTGCTCGCGCACATCGAGGGAGGCAACGAGCCACGGCTGGAGTACCCGACACTATCCTTCTCTCATCGCTGCAGAAGCTCCTGGTTGCCGAGGCGCATGGACCCGTCGTCCTCTGGCTCCCGCTCCTTCAGGTCGGCGCCGGCGGCACTCGTCCCCGTCAAGCCCGAGCCGCAAGAGACGACGCTCCGTCGGTGCAGCCGCGACGGCAACCTCGTTGTAAACGAGGGCGACCGCGTCCCTTCCCCTTCTCACGGCCACATTTGCCTGGTTAAGCCGAAGAATGAGCCGGCGACCATGGTGAAGCAGGAGCACGAGGACATGGCCGCCGACCTCGAGAGTGGCTTCGCCTGGTCGCGTGCGGACTACTTGGCGGAGGAGATGGAGCACCAGTGTCGTGCTCTGGAAGAAATAGCCGAGCGGTGCCGCGGCCATGACAAGGGCAGCGTCATCGCGCTCTCCGACAGCGACGACGAGGTCACAGCGCCGAGCAAGCCTGTCCGCAGCGGCGATCCAGGGCAGGGCTGCAGCCAGGCCGCCCCGAAGGACGGGCCGCCGAGTGACAGCGACGACTACACTGTCTTCTACAACCTTCTCGGCGTGAACTAGGTGTAGTTTTATGTTTTTATCTATGTAAATTTGCCTAAATAAAAATGAAATCGCCTATATTTCGTTCAAATTAACTGAATTTCATTGAGTTTTGGCGTTTTAATTTTTTTGGGCCGATGCTGTTGCGGTCACGGCTGGGAATCGCCCCGTGTCGAAAAAACTGCCGTCAACACCCCAAGAAGCGCCATTTCCTCCGAAAAACGGTCTTGAGGACCGAACGGCTGAAGATGCTATAAGAGGTTGGACTTGGCTGTAGATGATTTGACGTGGATACGCTTGTATTACCTTCAGGACGATGGTATGCCGGTGAGTTGGCTCTACAGAAATCACCTCCTTTGACACTAATCAAAATGGAAACGGCGGATCCCCAGGGAACAGACACATCCCGTCGGCGCTCTCGACGGATGCCAGGCGCAAATTCTGCTGGGCTTTGCGGCTTGGGGGCACGGAACCTGGCAATCATCGTACCGGCCGACTGCCCCACACGGACACGGCAACCGAAAAGCGCGGGGGAGCACAGCCTTGATTGTAGTTTTTGCTTTCTTTTTCCCTTATAAACGGGCACTCGGCCGTCCATGATTAAGCAAACACAGCACACAATGGGAAGAGAAGGGAGAAAGAAGAGACCAAAGCCACCACTGCGAACAGTACCATCGGACGCGTGTGCCCCTCCCCCACAGCCACAGGTCAGAGAGAGTGAGAGAGGCGACGATATTCAACTCCCGTGATTCCTGCGGTTCCAGGGGCGCCTCTACGCGCAAAATGGCCGAGGAGATCCTGCAAACCCCGCCACGAAAACAACACCATATTCGCTACTACCAGTAGTAATTTTGCTAGCCCACGCGGCGTACGTGTGTGAGGATGTCGGTCGGTAGAAACGGTAGAGAAACCGCATCTAGGCGGAATGCTGTTGCCGCCCACCTGTCTAGGTTGGGAAACCTTACCTGGACTTGGACGGCGGCAAGACAGAGGTCAAGGGGCCATGGCTTGAGACTGACGGCCCCCATGGTGCGCCTCGTGGTCGCCTGCAGCAGGGTACAAAAAACATATACTACGATTCAAAAAAAAGGGTACAAAACATCTTACTAAACTGGAACAAGTAATGTAATCATGTACTGCCGGTACTAGTTAATTACTCTGCAGTTTGGGAAAGGACCGCATTCGCAGCGGTGAACATGGCAAAAGGGCACCTCACTCGCGCCCCTGCCCTTTCAGCACATGCGCCCGGCCCCACATGCGTGTCTAGTGTACTGTAGTACTGTGCTCCCATGCCTTGCATCCTCCTCCCGTGGGTCTCTCCTCTCGATCACGCCGGAACAGGGGCGGAGACAGGGGGTGCGAGCAGGGGTCAGACACCCCCCATCGCTTCGCCCCCCCTATGGATTTACATCGGCTAATACTATGAGTAATTAGGGATTAAGCCCAGCAGACTTACACGGCCCAACGAAAAGCAAAGGGGTATCTGGCCATGTGTATATACCTACGAGGCCCTAGGCCCTAGGCCATCTGGTTTGGACGAGGGTACACTGATAATTTAATTTCTATCTTTTCTTTAGTTCCCATCTATCTACTCAAAAAAATAGATCTTCTCTTATTAGTACTCTAGCGCCGCCGCCTCGCTGCTGCCGGTCCACCAAGAAAGGGAACTGCCCCGTGAATTCGATCGCTGGTTCGTTGCAGTCTGAAACCTGAAGGTATGACATATACACCACCTGAAGCCTAAAAGGTAGTCTAATACAACTATCTCTTTTCAATCTCAGTGGCCCTTCAAGAATGCTTGCGACATGCCGTGATGGATTTCACACTGACTGGATCGTTGGCGCTCTCGAAGCAACACTCTGCCGCCGCGCCACGGCATCTGGGCATTGTTGTTCGTTAATTATGTCTACACATCTTGATCTAATCAAGGTAAAGCTGTATACAGTCTACTTTTTAGATTGATTACTGGTTACAACATTTATACATTTACTGGTTACTACATTGATTTTATAAGCCATACAATTTACTTACATACTCCCTCCGTCATACTGTCAAAAAACATCTTATATTTTGATACAGAGGGAGTAGAAGATAAAGATCGTATATTTATCAAAAGGCGCAAAATTAATAACTAATTATCCCTTTTTGTTGTCTATTTTTCTGCAATAACAAAGAAATCATGACTCTTTAGCCTTATTATACACTCTAGTACTCTACATGTTATCTTCATTTTCATTCTAGCTTATGTCCAAAAATCACTGTACTCGGCAGACTATGTATATTATCTAGAATAATCTATCATCATGTCTCCTTCGCCCCCCCTATGTTCGAATCCTGGCTTCGCCCCTGCGCCGGAAGCGATCACGCACGCACAGGCAGCTGCGTATGTGTGTGTGTGTGAACTGGTCTCTGAGGGTCGACACGAGTTCGCTGCGGCCATGAGCCATGTCTTTTTTTTTTTGTGGCCCGAGGGCAGCCATGACGCATGTCCTCCCATGTCACAACAAGGCACCTGCTCCTACTCGTGACATTAGATCCAGTTACCAATGGCACTAACAATCGACCGATCCTTCATGAGAAGAAGAACACAAGGTCTTGAGTTTGTTTTTGTTCTGCAGCGTGCCTATGCCTATCTATCCATCTCTTGTAGGTGACGAATGGCGAGCAGCACACATGCAGTCGCGCCGCGCGCACAGGTGGAAATGGAATGGTTTTTGCGAAAAAAAAGAAAGGGTGGAAATTGAATGGAACCCATCCGTCCCGTCCGGGTCCTGTGCCGAATCGTGGCGTGATGGTCTCCCAAGACCACCGATATGGACACATCACTGTGCCGCGCTCCAGCTTCCAAATCCAAACCGAGAGAGAGAGACCATAAACGAATCGTGCCGCTGTGGCATGCTAACTAGCATCCGACGAGCGAGCGAGACGACCTCCTTGTTTGCTTGTCCCTCCTCCCCTCCCCTCCCCTCCCGCGGTTGCTTTCTACAACCGCTGGCCGTGCAGGTGCAGCACAGAACACAGCCACTCGCGCTCGGCCGCCGAGCCTATAAAGGGCGGTGCCCAGCCACCACCTTAATGACACTGTCATCACCAAACACCAACACAAACACAGACACAAACCAAAAGCATTCCTTCCCTCTCGCCCTCCCTCCTCCATCTCTGTCTCAAGATCAGTGCCGCTCCCAAGAGTTAAGAAGAGAGAGAGAGAGAGAGAGAGAGAGAGAGGAAGGAGATGGGGATGCAATCAGTGTGCGGAGGAGCAGGGCGGTGGCGGCGAGCAGTGGCGTGGTGGGGGGCCGTCCTGGTCCTCGCCCATTTACTCAGCTGCGGCAGCGCGGGGCTCCTGGACACCAACCCGGGCTTGGCCTATAACTTCTACGCGACGACGTGCCCCAGCGCCGAGGCCACCGTCCGGAGCATCACCTGGGCGCAGGTCGCCGCCAACCAGGCCCTCCCCGGCCAGCTCCTCAGGCTGCACTTCCACGACTGCTTCGTCAAGGTCAGTCACTTCCCGACTTCCTTCCTTCCTTCCTTCGTTAACCTCGCCCTGGCCCCACTTCCTCTTCAGCCCCTCTCCCTTTCCCTGAGTGCCTGAGTGGAGTGGGTCTTTGCTTCCACTTCCGTCGGCGCCGTGCCCGTGCCCGTGCCCAGCCGGCCGACGCGGAAAGCGCTTCTTCTCCCGGCAACAAATTAACTGCGGATTCCATTTCTAGCTACTCCATTCACGTTCGAACCAAGAGTCCTGGCTCATCGCTCTAATTAAACTGGCATACCATACCATACCATACAGATCGCCTTTCTCCCTCTGCCCAAGCAGATTTTACTGCGGGGGTTTACTTTGGTTTTGAGCTTTTTTGGGGGGCTTTTACGAGTAATAATACTCCCTGCTGTGGTGAGAGTGAGTGTTACAAGGCAGTTTGACTGTTGATATGTACACGAGGGGAGCACCTTTATGTGCACTACGTAAGCATTACGGCGCCTTTCCGCTCGTAGCGACACGGCCAACGGGCCAAGCAAGAAAACAAAGGGCCAGAAATACTAGACTAGCGCGCAAGGGGAAGGGGAGCAAGGTGAATCTTGTCATACAGTAATATTTTCCGTGGCCAATGCGTCGCCGCTCACATGCGCTGCGCGCCCAGCTGGTGGCGCGCGACAGCTATCAAAGCTGCCGCGCCGGTACGGCGGCTGCAGGAGCAGCTTTGGCCCCTTGCGGCGGCCCCGCGCGCATCCAAATTTCAAACATTCAAAAGAAAATTTCAAACCCCAAAATGCTACTACTATCTGTGTGGCTCACAGCTTTTCTTGCAATGCGATGATAATGCAGGGCTGCGACGCGTCCATCCTGCTGGACAACGCGCAGAGCGAGAAGACGGCGCCGCCCAACGGCTCCCTCGGCGGCTACCCGGTGATCGACGCCATCAAGGCGCAGCTCGAGAAGGCCTGCCCGGGCGTCGTCTCCTGCGCCGACATCGTCGCGCTCGCCGCCCGCGACGCCGTCTCCTACCAGTTCAAGGCCTCGCTCTGGCAGGTGGAGACCGGCCGCCGGGACGGCCCCGTCTCGCTCGCCAGCAACACCGGCGCGCTGCCCTCGCCCTCCGCCGGCTTCAACGGCCTGCTGCAGAGCTTCGCCGCCAAGGGGCTCGACGTCAACGACCTCGTCGCGCTCTCCGGCGCGCACACCATCGGCAAGGCCAGCTGCTCCAGCGTCACGCCCAGGCTGTACCAGGGCAACGCCACCAGCATCGACCCCCTGCTCGACTCCACCTACGCCAAGACGCTCATGAACGCCTGCCCCAACAATCCCGCTTCCACGTCCACGGTGGACCTGGACGGCGCCACGCCGTTCAAGTTCGACGGCAGCTACTACACCAACCTGCAGAACAAGCGGGGAGTGCTCGCCTCCGACGCCGCGCTCACGCAGAACGCCGCTGCCGCGACTATTGTCAACGACCTGACCAACCCGATCAAGTTCTACGCCGCCTTCTCCATGTCCATGAAGAAGATGGGACGCGTCGACGTGCTCACCCTCAAGAACGGACAAGGGAAGATCAGGACCAAGTGCAATGTGCCGTGAGGGTTCATCCATGAGCGCCACATTTTTTCTTGGATTTTTTTTACTCTCTCCCTCTCTCTCTCTCCCTCTTATTTCATCGGCGCGGATCAAATATATTGTGCCCGCCATGATTAAGGTCCCAAATCTATATTGATTTGTTAAGTGCTGTGCCTGAGTATGTAAGATTATTAGTCACGACATGCGTTGCATTCCTCTTGCAATCAATCAAAGAAGGTGGTTCGGCACTTCTCTCTGCTCTCACTGTCAGCCATGTCCAAGTGTCTATTCAGAGCAACTGCATCTTTCTTCAGATAATGCTTCGCTGGATCCAACGGCCATGCACGCTTCGCATTTAAACCCCTCCACTTTTTGGTAGATGCCACTTTATTACTTAATTGTTTAAGTGGTACATCCGGCCTCTGCATAACAAAAATAACATAGCCAAACCAAGTCGAGAATTGAAAAAAACAAGAAATACAAGAAATTATGAGTCTAGTATGACGCCTAAAATGTAGGAGTGACATCTTTTCTTGAATCCGGGAACGTAGGAATTTTGATCAAAGAGCGTGTGATGCCACATGAATAATAAAGGAATTGCACAAAGTTTGACTTGATGAGAATTCCCTCTTAAAATGAAGTGCAAAGGAATCCTTTGAATTTCCCCCCAAAGGATTTCAATCATCCAAATCCTACGAGAATCCTTTCAACCGAAGGAGGCCTTACTTGTTAATCCAAAATCCCAAAGGATATAATCCTATTAAAACCAATGCACTTAGTCAATCTCTTCCTAGCGCCTGCTCCTCCTAGTGTTGCTGGCCATTCCGGCCGTCGCGGCACCAGCCATAGTCGCCACCTGCTCCGGGCCTCGGCTTCATTGCATGGCATGGGTCGGCCGTGCTTGCATGGATCCAGCTGATAACCCACAAGTATAGGGGATCGCAACAGTTTTCGAGGGTAGAGTATTCAACCCAAATTTATTGATCTGACACAAAGGGAGCCAAAGAATATTCACGAGTATTAGCAGCTGAGTTGTCAATTCAACCACACCTGAAAGATTTAATATCTGCAGCAAAGTATTTAGTAGCAAAGTAATATGAAAGTAACCGTAACGGTGACAAAAGTAACAATAACAGTTTTATAGTGATTGTAACAGCAGTAGCAACGAAAGTAACTTAGCAAAGATCAATATGTGAAAAGCTCGTAGGCAATGGATCGACAATGATAATTGTGTTGGATGATATTCATCATGTAGCAGTCATAACCTAGGGTGACACAGAACTAGCTCCAATTCATCAATATAATGTAGGCATTTATTTCGTATAGTCATACGTGCTTATGAAAAAGAACTTGCATGACATCTTTTGTCCTACCCTCCCGTGGCAGCGGGGTCATAATGGAAACTAAGGCATATTAAGGCCTCCGTTTAATAGAGAACCAAAACAAAGCATTAGCACTTAGCGAATACATGAACTTCTCAAACTACGGCAATCACCGAAAGAATCCTAATTATTGTCACCTTGGGGTATGCAGATCATAATTCGTAATAGGCGCCTACAACTTGCAAGATAGGATCAAGAACACAAATATATTCATGAAAACATAATAGGTTCGGATCTTTAATCATGGCACTCGGGCCCCAGTGACAAGAATTAAGCATAACAAAGCCATATCAATATCAATCTCAGAACATAGTGGATACTAGGGATCAAACCTTAACAAAACTAACTCGATTACATGATAAATCTCATCCAACCCATCACCGTCCAGCAAGCCTACGATGGAATTACTCACGCACGGTGGTGAGCATCATGAAATTGGTGATGGAGGAAGGTTAGTGATGATGATGGCGACGAATCCCCCTCTTCGGAGCTCCGAACGGACTCTGGATCAGCCCTCCCGATGAAGAACAGGAGGCGGCGATGGCTCCGTATCTTAAAACACGATGAATCCTTCTCCTTAATTTTTTTTCTCCTCGAATACGATTATATAGAGTTGGAATTAGGGTCGAAGGAGTTCCAAGGGGCCCACAAGCCCTCTAGGCGCGCGCCCCCAGGCTTGTGGCCTGTGGGTGGACCCCTCTGGTTAATTCTTGCGCTAGTATTTTTTATATATTCCACAAAAGTTCTTCGTCAATTTCTAGGTCAATCTGAGAACTTTTATTTCCGCACAAAAATTAACACCATGGCAATTCTAACGAAAACAGCATCAGTCCGGGTTAGTTCCATTTAAATCATGCAAATTAGAGTCCAAAACAAGGGCAAAAGAGTTTGGAAGAGTAGATACGATGGAGATGTATCAACTCTCTCAAGTTTAACCCATTGCTTGTCCTCAAGCAATTCAGTTGACAAACTGAAAGTGACAAAGAAAAACTTTTACAAACTGTGTTTGACCTGGTTGTTGCAAATACGTCTAGCTAACATTCAGGTTTTCAGCAAAGATTATGAACTAGCCATATTCACAATAACATTTAGGTCTCACATTTACTCATATCAATAGCACAATCAACTAGTGAGCAATAATAATAAATCTTGGATGACAACACTTTCTCAAAACAATTATGATATGATATAACAAAATGGTATCTCTGAGACCGCAAAAACATAAATGCAGAGCACCCCTGAAGATCAAGGACTAACTAGACATTATAATTCATGGCAAAAGAGATCCAGTCACACTCACTCAATATCAATTAATAACAAAGCATATAAATGACAGTGGTGCTTTCCAGCTGGTGCTTTTTATAAGAAGATGATGACTCAACAATAAAAGTAGTAGATAGGCCCTTCGCAGAGGGAAGCATGGATCTGCAGAGGTGCCAGAGCTCGAGCTTTTAAAACAGAAAGGGATATAATTTTGAGCAGTATGCTTTCATTGTCAACATAACAACCAAGAGATCTCACTATCTTCCATACTAGATACATTATTGTAGGATCAAAAGTAGATCTAGAGGGGGGTGATTAGACTACTTGACCAAATAAAAATCTAACATTTTTCCAATTTTAAGTGTTGGTAGATTTTAGCAACTAGTACAAGTCAAGCAATCAACCTACACATGCAATTCTAAGAGTGTAGCAGCAGAAAGTAAAACATTGCATATGAAGGTAAAGGGAAGAGTTTGGAGAAGGCAAACGCAATGTAAACGCGGAGATTTTTGGCATGGTTCTGATAGGTGGTGCTATCATACGTCCACGTTGATGGAGACTTCAACCCACGAAGGGTAACGATTGCGCGAGTCCACGGAGGGCTCCACCCATAAAGGGTCCACGAAGAAGCAACCTTGTCTATCCCACCTTGGCCATTGCCCATGAAGGACTTGCCTCACTCGGGTAGATCTTCACGAAGTAGGCAATCTACTTGCCCTTACAAACTTCTTGGTTCAACTCCACAATCTTGTCGGAGGCTCCCAATCGACACCTAACCAATCTAGGAGACACCACTCTCCAAAACGTAATAGATGGTGTGTTGATAATGAACTCCTTGCTCTTGTATTTAAAATGATAGTCTCCCCAACACTCAACTCTCTCTCACATATTTGGCTATGGTGGAAAGATGATTTGAGTGGAAAGCAACTTGGGGAAGGCTAGAGATCAGGATTCTTGTTGTAGGATTGGAATATCTTGGTCTCAACACATCAGTAGGTGGTTCTCTCTCAAAAAAATGAGTAGTAGAAGTTTAGGCACGTTCTGATGGCTCTCTCACAAATGGAGAGGGGGTGGAGGGGTATATATAGCCTCAACACAAAATCCAACCGTTACACACATTTGACCCAACTCGGCCAGACCGAATAGAAGAACTTGGTGAGACCGATTTAGTTCAAAATGTGAACACTAGGAATCTCGGTGGGGCCGACAGGAACAAATCGATGGGACCGATGTGCTAGGGCTAGGGCAAAACCTCATCTCGGTGAGACTGATTGCTTGAACTCGGTGAGACCGATTTCAACAAAGAGCAAATAGAGAGTTGGTCAAACAAACTCGATGGGACCGATTACACATTTCGGTGAGATCGAAATAATTACAATAGGCAATAGAGAGTTTGCAGGGCCATCTCGGTGAAACCGAGATCTGTATCAGTGTGACCGAATTGTCTAGGGTTTCTGGCAGTGGCTATGTCAAATGAACTCGATGGCGCCGGATAGATCAAATCGGTGGGGCCGAGTTTGTCTTTGAGTTTTGGACATATGTGGAAATGAGAAAGTGGCTGAGGGTTTTGGAGCAATATCACTAAGCACTTTGAGCAAGTAGACCATTAAGCAACACCTCATCCCCTTTTAATAGTATTGGCTTTCCTATGGACTCAATGTGATCTTGGATCACTAAAATAGAAATGAAGAGTCTTGAGCTTTTGCCAATCTTTGTCCTTAGCATTTTGAGGGATCCACATCTCTAGTCCATGCCATGCCAATCATTGAACTTTCTGAAATATTTAACTTGAATGGATATTACTTCAATGAGCTATTTGTTGTATGAATTACCAAAAGCACCCGGGGATTAGTTGCATTTTCAATCTCCCCCTTTTTGGTAATTGATGACAACACATAGATCAAGGCTTCGACAAATGATAATATGAGTGAAATACATTGTCGCTTTGAGAAGTATGTGATAAGCAAGAGCCCTCCCTAAATTTGTGCATTATTTAAAATTTGCTTTTGAATGCAAATGCACAATCGATTAGGATCATGGGTCACTCTTCCATGTCACATACATCTTGGTGGATTGCTCAAAATGATAAGAGTTAAATAACATGCACTCATCACGAAGGGTAGAAGTGATTGATCATACACAAGTATCATATATATAACCATGCAAGCACACATTAAGGCAAAGTATGATCAAACACATGATCACATAAGTATCTCACGAGCATAACACAAGTCGTAGCATAGGAATCAAACAACCAAAAGATCAAAGCAAATGATCAAAGTAGCAAGAGAGGCAAAGAAAAGGTAAAACACACTCTCTCGAAGCCTAATGATCTATACACTTTCTCGCCCTTTGGTAACAATTTACCAAAAAGCTTGA